ATGTGTGAAATGTTTCTATTTGAACTTTTCAATATTGGCAACATTTGCATTGCTAATGATGCTTATCAATAATCTATCCTTTCTTGACATTTACATAAATTACATAAATTTGTTACTTCACCTGACCTTAATTACCTGTTACGTACGGGGCATACAAATTACTAAGGTGCTCATTTCGAAAAATTGTTAAATTTGCATTTGTTGTGTAAATGTTATTTGAAAGTCTGGCACTAAATTCTGACTTTTTAAAATATTAATCAGTCCAGGCCAGATAGGTTAAATTGGCAATTAAAAACATTTAACAGCAAGCGCTAACTCATTTTAATTTTAAAATAAATATTATTGAAAGTATTTTTTAATATTTAAAAACTTTTGTTTTCTATAATCAGCTAGCCTTTTACCTGTGATTGCTAATAACGGGGCAAAGCTAACCGGTTGGGCTTAGTCTTTCAGCTTTTAATTAATTTATTACAATGTATTTATAGCTTAGTTATCTCTGTATATAATACTTTCTGTGCTGATTGACTGAATGACTGGCTGCTAGGAAGGTGAAATTTCCACTAAGTTACCTTATGTGATGGAGGTGCACGCTCAGACTGGCTTTTGGGATAGTCGCAAGTGTGGAAATATGGCGAAAAACGCTTGGATGAAACTTTTTGGCTTAACTCAAACTCATTTTCAAAGATCTTTGCTCATATTCAGTTGAGGGGCGTTTCACACTTTTCCGAATATCCACCCCTCATTGGTGGAAATGGGGTCAATGATTTGATAGTTGAAGTTTTGGGTTCAAATTTATTTTTTATATATCTCTATGATAACATTTTGAGAAGTATTTCACATTTTTTGCAGAATTCAATTTTGGGGAGAAGTTTTAATTTTCGTCCGATTGGCTTCAAACTTATTTTCAAAGCCCTTTATAAGAACTTAATGAAATCTTGTTTCAGAAATCCCACCCGCAACAGTGGTAAATTGGCGGAAACGTTTAGAGGAATGTTATTAAGTTACCATACAATCGGATTGAAAGTCATTTTCAGAGGTCTTAGTGAAAATTGAGACGCGTTTCTCACTTTTTGTAAAATCCGACCCTATGGGATGATAAATGCGGGTCAAGGTTGCAATATCTTTATTAGTGCAAAGCTTATAATTTAATTTAATTTCTTTTACTTGTAAGTCAAGTGAGTTAGTCTCGTTATTTGTGGAGGGACTTGGGAAATTTTATAACGTTTATAATTACATAAGTTTGGCTCGGAATAGTTCACACAATAACGGATCCAAATATTTGTGTTTTGGTATCGTTCTACTGTTTCAGGCTCGATTACCTGGGACTTTGCACCGAACTTGGACTTTGTGAGCCGTGCAAATTGGCTTGCTGCGTGATTGTGATTATCGACATGGAACTCTTGAAACTCTGTCGAGTTGGGCAAATAATATTTTGGCTGATGTCAGTGAAATCAAAACGCCGTCAACATGCACAAATGCACTTTCAAGTTCGAGGCTGTCGAGCCAGTCTCTCGGTTGCATTTCCAGTTAGTCGAGCATGACGTCGAGCCCACGTTTCACGTTTGGCTCAATGATTTCCACAAATCGTATTTGTTGTTGTTGTGTTTGTTGTGCCGTGTATGCAAAAGCCAAATGGTACACAGTTTTAAAAAAATGGAAAACGCGCATTTTGCACACGTTTGGAACACACAAACAACAACAAAAGAAAACAAAAACATACAACAAGCAATCTTTGGCATGCCGAAGACTAAATACCCTTGCAATCATATTATATATATGGAAATATACTCGTGTTGATAAACTTTACCTAATAATAAAGCTTTCTTAGGCAGCTATTCGATATAGTGGAGCGATCCAGGAGATCCAGACATGAACTTCATGGAATTGAAGAATTTTCCTTCTATGCGTTACACACTCCGTGACAAAAGGGTATATCAACTTATATAAAGAAAAATGGCGCAATAACAACAAATGAAAATGTTTATAACGGTTGCATACGCAGTGTCTACAATCAAAACGAGGCCCGCAATTGTTTTAATCAAAGCAATTAAAACAGTTTCACCTAATGCTTAGATTGGAAGCGAACGAGAATTAAAACCTGATATTTAATGTTGAACTTTGAAATGAAAGCGGGAATGAAATGAATTGAGCAGACCTGGAAATATGTATTTCAAACGAGAATATCTCTTGATATGATATGATAATGACAATTTATTTGGGCTCGCTGCTCCACTCGTTTATCTCGGAGGCCTATTGTAAACAGAACGCATGAAAGGGATTATCTAAACCGACTGATTAAATCAGATGTGTCGCTCGTTTAGCCACAACACTTTTTCACTTGTCCAACATTTGAGTGGAGTGTGCTTTGTCGGTCCGGGGAGGTGGGTACAAAGGGCTCAGAATATGTTGCTGGTGATCAAGTGATACGTGCCTCATTTCCTGATTGTCTTAATCCGAAGCATGTTTGCATAACTGTTTAGCCAGCTGTTCGGTGGTGTCGTCGCCGTAGTTTGATTCTTATGATTCCATTTAGTTGTCGTCAGTTTGCAATTTAACTTTGATCAGGGTCACGATCGTCGCACACGCGGCGTGTACGTTCAAAGTTCAAAACTTGGACCCGTGTGCCTACAAACTCGCCTGAACTCAATCTATTTTGTTTGCATACAATTTTCATTCATTAGCCTACAATTTGGCGATTGCAATGGTTCGTGAATTGTGACACTGTCGAAACAACTTTCGCTCAAATCGTTGTGCTCCCAACGGGCAGAATGGTTGTAACTTAACCTCCAGTTGGGGCGCTGCCGTGTAATCTTGAATAGCATCGGTCTTTATAGTCCGATCCTTGTGCAGATTCTAAGAGAGCTTCAATATGGCAACCAAAAGTGTGCAATCAACTTATGAGTGCGTTGATCTAGGCAGCTACACATTTGTGGACTTTAAATTTGGAATATAATTTAAAATATAAGTTTTGATATTCCAAACAATTTCAATATTGTCGATAGAAATCGATTTCGGGTCTCTTTTTGTAGGCATAACTGAGATCTCGATTCACCAGAATAGAATATTTCCTTTTCTGGTTACCTATCCTGATCGCCCAAAAAATTTTAAAATTGTGATCTTTTCATTTGTTGTTTACACCAAATGTACGCCAATATTCTAAAAGATCGGGCCATAACCACCGAATCGATTCGAGATATATATATATTATATTTATTTTTTGTATATATATATTTCCCGTCTCGGGGTTCAGGGTATCTTCTATTCGGCCACTGCTATTAAGAGCACTCTTGATTTTAATCTGTCTTTGCTATACGATAAAGCTCTCAAAATCTTCTTATTTCAATGTTATCAGCCAATAAAATACATAATTCTTATCAATTTTTAATGGGTTTAGGGTAAATAAAACAGTTGCTTTTACGGCCTTTGACTGAGGCAGAACTACATTCATACATTTAGCATGGGGCTCTAAGCCGAATCCTCTTTTATCAGTTGATAACTTAGACAGGTCGCCTACCAAAACAACAAGTCTTTGAGAAACCTATTCCTATTTCATCTTTAGCTTTACAGTTCGAAATAAGTTTAAATTAGTAGAATAGTAGTAAGAGATCGATTTTTGTTCATGCTTTATTCGCATATATATTTATTTAATTAAATTAGTCATATTAATTTTTGTTTCTTAAAATCGAAGCGTAAAAGATTGAAGTAGCTGTCGAATTTTGCATTTATATTGTTTTTCGACGTTCTCTCACTTCATAAACAAAACACGTTTGGAAAAAGCGTCTTTCTTGTTATTTATTATGTTATTGTTTTGTTTGCTTTGTGCAGTTGGCGGTTCAATGTCCGCTGCCGTAAACAAATACCATCTGTAAAGCGGAAAAGGCTTAAGGATGAAGAGCAGAATTCTTGCAGAAGAGTTTTTGAGCCTTGCGACAAACTTAAGAGCTCCCCTTTAACTTTATCGCTTCATTAGATTGAACTTTGCTCGCCTTAATCAAGCCGGCAGATTCTGAAGAGTTTCTAGTTTGGATATCAGTTTCATATTGCCGACGCAATCAGTTGACTTTTCTGTGGACTTTGTCCAAGCGATTGCCATTAGACATCGTTAATAACTTGTTTACCTATGTATTGTTCTTGTTTTTTTGGCACAAGCCAAATTTGTAGTAAATTTGAGTCCATTCATGGGGCACGACCTATGTCAATTTGCAGCCTAGAAGAGCAGAAGTAGAAAAAGACGAATGTTACACGCGTGAGATACCAACTTTCGCGTCTGTTTCTCTGGCATTTCTCGCCTCTTATGCAACACGAATTTGACTGTCTAAATTTAATTTCTGTGCTATCTTTAAATATAGATACACACACACACGCGTGTGTATCTCGTATATTTATATGATCAGTTTTGTATCTGTATCTCAGTTCTTGTTGTTTTTATTATCAGTTTTTGGCCAAACACCAAGACCGCAAGGCGAAACCGAAGAACTTGTTTTCTGTTTTGTTTAAATTAAAAATTTTATTTTCAACTTTTTTTTTTTTTTTTAGCTTTTTTTTCATTTTATGTTTAATGAAATGCTCTTCTGTAGTATAATAAATGATTTAGCCATATACATATATTAAATAATTGCTGAATGGTATAAATATGCTAATAGAAGAAATGGGAAAAGAGACCATGAAGGTCAGCCAAAGTAGTTTTTCGTTCTTTTTGAATTGGGATATTTGTAACCCAATCTTGAAGCTTTTTCTGTTTTCCTCTTCATACATTTATCGCATTTGCATTCAAGTATCTTATCAATTGAAAATTGAAAACGTGTCGACCTAAGAATACATATTGCCATTGGTGAGAGCTGTTCTAACATCCTATTGTTTATATCGTATTTCCATATCTATTTGTCAAACACAGACCGTTTTTATTGTCTATTCATTGTCATTATTTTCATTACATAAATACGTATCTGTTTTCTCTCTCTCATTTTATTGTAGGTAAATGAAACATCAAAGCAACTGCAGCTTGAAAAGTGGCATCATCGTTTAAATGTTGCATCCATTTGTTTGTCCGACCCGTTTTTAGCTAACTACGTAGAATCCGCATTACGCATACGTATACGCATTACGCATTACGCATTACGCGCGTTTCCATCAACGCAACTGTACTTGGAGTACGCTCGGAGTTGGCAACAAGGACACGAAGTAGAGAAAGCGCTATCTAGAATTTCTCCCCTTGTCTGTGTCGCTCCGTCGCAACCGCTGGCCTTGCCACAGTGAAGCTCGGCAAGATGTTCATCGAAGATGATGCCCAGTAAGTACTCTCCCATTGAACTATCTATATGCTCAACCTTAATGTAAGTCATGTCAAAAATCGCTTTAATTTGTGTACGCCTTTACGTATCGCAAGACTTATTTCGCGCTATCAGAATACGTCAAAATTGAGCAGGAAATTCTAAACCGTTGATTATTTTTAAATTTAATAATATCTTTTAACACTATCATTACCTGTTTTATAACATTTTATAACATTCCACTTAGTTAAATGTGGGTGATATATTATAGGAATTGCATTTAATAAATTTAGAAATATTTGAACTGATTTTGTATATATGCAAAATACGTAAAAGTCATATGCTTCAATTCACATGGACTCAGAGTTAAAAAAATTCTTTTAATTTTTTCGTTTTTTCTAAAAATACCGATCTTGAATAAGTTAAATATAACTAACTAACTAAAGGGGGGAAAAATTAAAAAACATTAAAAAATATATTCGTATAAATCGTTCTTCGTATGATATGCAAGAATATATATATATATAGTTTTAAGTTCAGTCGATATTTCTAGAGGTCTTCTGGTTTTCAAATCTCTCAACAATATTCGTCGATAAAACAGAATTATTAGAGATTTCATTTTTTCGTTGTTGTTTTTCCGAAACAACAAACAATTCATCTGTTTGTTAACTTAGTGTTGTAGGTGTACATATATAAATATCTATATGCCAACAATTATCTTTCCGTTAATTTAAACATTAAAAATATTTTATGCACGATTAATTGTGAATTCAAGCATATGATCGTCCCCGATTCAAATTGCGAAAAACTTGAAATACTGTTTGTAGCAGATTTTTCACTATTTATCTGTTGTTTTTTAATACACAATATTATCAACTAATACATATTAAAAGTGCAAAACAGAGTATTCCGAATTTGAATACATTTTCTTCTGGAGCTTTTTTGACTCAAGCTCTTGACAAAATTTAGAGGCTTAAGACCAACAAAAAACAGGAAGCCGAAGATTAAATACCATTTGGCTTTGAAAATATACTGGAAAACTGAATATTTTGTTTATAATAACTCATTTTACGTCAGACTCTTCGTATAGAGCTGTATATATAATATAATTGAATGATCTGGAAAAGATTTGGCCAACGAGAGAATATATTCACTTTAGAAGACATTATTTCAAAAGTTATACCGAATCTAGTCTGTTTACTGATATGCAAACTTAGTCTCTCAGTTTTAAAGATATCGTCAGGGAAGTTGGCATAATCATTCTGTTGCACACGGTACATATGTCCGAATAGGCCGGATCGGACCACTATATCATGGATGGGTCGACTATCTAGTTCTTGTATGAAAACTCGAACTCGACGTTTAGTTATTTTTCTATGCTCCCAGTAGCTTCAAAACTTTATAAACATCGAAGTACTACTTTATGCGTTTTTGTATAGAATAGTTTTCTGTTTTTGATTAAATCTCTACCAAACACAGCACTCACGAACTTCAATATATATTAAATATCTGTAAAACCTTCTCAAAATGGCTCCAATAGAAACAGTCGGTCGGGTGAATGAGGATTTAGTCTTCGGCAGGGAAAAGATAGTTGTTCTTTCTAGCAACGCACAGCCATAAACCGCACTGATATTTTAAGTCAAATATTTTTAATTTACCGATTTATATTGGCGATAAAAGATAAACAGTATTTGTGGAACTTTTAGCCAAGTTAAATATGAATGTGGTAAATAACTGTAGTGCACGAATATTTAAATTTGTGATAAGATTATGAACCAATTATTTGATACGCTATAAATGGCAATTTGATTAGCAAGTCATTCGACTAAAAGAGAGTGGAAGTTTTCCAGCTGGTAATTATAGGTCGCTTAGCAGGCGCTAGAGTTCTTCTTAGAGTTCTTCCGTAAAAAAAGTGCCTGCTTTCACTGGATTCACTTTTGATGCGTCTTCGATCAGTCACCGTGAACTGACTAACAAACTGTGCTAAATTAATTAATTCAAATTAAGTCTCTGTTGCCAATGCCACCCAGCCGAGGTGCGTCCTAGATTGGCGTAACACTCGCTTGTGTATGTCAAGTTCAGGGACGTGACGTAGTTTCGTGCTTTGCTTATCGCTGGAACTCTCCTTATCAAGCGTTTATGGCATAAGTATTTTTGCACTGATTCCGACTATAATTAAAGCATTCGCAAAGGCGGTCGAGTTCTGCTTGCGCTCACTGTGAAATATCTTTTCAGGCTGCACTCGTCATTTGCTTAGAAAATTCTCGTCGGTGGTTCTCTATATTTATATCTATCAATTAATATATTTAATGATAAATATTGCGTGACCTTCAGTATGGAAAGTTTTATTAATAGCTACAGCGAAAATCACGCTACTTGAGACTTTCAACCTTACTTATTTCATTCGCTTACCGTTTTGATAACGTGCTGGAATGTCAGTGCAAAGGTTGATAATTGAGTTCACATACAGCCGCTGATTAGCATGTTATTCACACACACACGCACACACTTACATACTCACCCACATGCATACAGACGCACGCGAGACTCTAGGCAACAGCTTTAGCTTATTATCTGCACTTCCACTTAGACGTAGAAAGGGCCGTTAATTGGCTGCAGGTGGGCTGTGAGATAGTGGCTTAAGCTGAAATTATTTAGAAAAGATATGAGCTTAAATTAAGAAATCAAATAGTAGTAAAATATAATCATATAAAGCGAACCAAGCAAGTTATCTAAATATGATATGAAATATGTGCTTACGATTTGGCTGCAGGTGGGCTGCAAGATTGTGGTTTAAATTGAAATTATATAGAATAGAGATGACACTTGCAAAGTTATCCAAATATAAAGAATAATACGCATATCGATCTTTCGCGACAATGTAGACAATGTATATCTAGGCCGAACAATAACTCGTTAAATATATATTAGAGTAAAATCTATGTCAAGCGTGACAACAAATGCCGTGGGGTAATCTGTGCTAGAAATGAATTTAATCTTCAACGGTCGATCACAATATATTTTTCACATCATAAATCACTTTGGCTTTAATCTACAATGGGCTTGACAAACGATTATTACTACGAGTATTTATTAGACTCCTAAAAGATATGAGTACCTGTGACCCACTTTTACTTGAGTGCGAGATGCTAAATAAGATCGATTATAATTTTGGTTATTTCCCTGTAAAAAGTCAGATGCGAAGAGCCGGTTGCAGAAGACTTGGCGTTCAATTTGGAATGACAGAATTGCTTACATACAATGCCCCGTCTGGGTAGTTGTACCTGTCTCTAAGAGCTGTGTCGGCAATCTACGCGACGCTGACGGAGCTGATAAGAGGCAAAATGCTTTCCAGCGTTATCGCCTTGCGAGCAGCTGCAGTGCTAAGCAGCTAAGCGAGTGGCAACCCTTTTCCAGTATTGGGCCCGAAAGATTCGCCAACTGAAATCAGTTAGCTTTCGGCTTGCGGCGGTGCTAGAACTATCGTGTGGCTTACTCTGCCTGATCCTACAAATACTATATTACATACACATATAGGTACATAATGAGTAGAGAATTTCAGAGCAGATCTTGTGCTTTCAATTTGCATCCAATCCAGTCCATACAGCTGTTGCAGCTGTAACTAAAATGCAATTTAATTAACATTGACTTTTTCGTTTTTCACCCACTTGCAGAATGGATAGCTTCTGGGTGCAGAGTGCACTGGGCGCCATCAAGGCAATTGCCTTTGTCTACGACATTATAACGCTGCCGGTTTATTTGGTAATACAGGCGCCATGGAAACGTCGACAGGACTCGAGGCGAGTCAAGGTGAGTGAATTGTTGCACTAAGATCTAGAAGCTGAACGAACTGAAATCTGCTTTAGTTTAGAGTTTTTAATCATTGTATTATTTATATTTCGACTTTCGATTTCTCAATAACCGCGTTTCATAGTCTTTAATCGCATGTTTCGTGTACTTACTTATTACTATATATTTGTACTATGCAGCTTCTGTAATTGTAGCTCGATTATTTCACAAATTGCACAGCCTCAGTTGCAGTTTAGCTTTGATCGTCATGCGATGCTTTTACCTTCGGCTTTCCAAATGCCGTCTTTGCCTCTCGCTTACCCAGTTTTAGCTGCGTTCCCTTTTACAAATTGGTAAGAAAGCGAAAGCAAATGTGTTAGAAAGAAAGAAAGGGCCAGGTCAGCTATCAATGTTCTTAGCCGTACTAGCCTTCTATCTGTGCGTGATGCCAATCTCATGTTCTGGCTGTGGCTCTTTAATAAAAACAAGCTGGAAAATGTAAACAATATTTAATTAACTTTAAATTGGTTTTTGCAATATGTTGACTTTTGAATAGTACTTTAAAGTGATTAACATTTCAATGGAAGCTTCTGGAGCTGTGGAAAGTATGGATATATAAGATTCTAGTAAACAATTTCTAGATTGCCCCTATTAAGTGCTAAAGTTTACCACATCTTAAAAATCAGAAATGGAATCGTTTCTTTAATAAGTTCAGATATATTCTGTTTATGTAGACATCTAGACCAAAGCTTACAAATGTAACTTTAATATATGACTTGATTAAATTTGTTTCAATTCGGATTAATATAGATTTTGTGTAAGACAAAAGTTATTTGTTTTTTACATAAAAACTAACTGACTGAACGACTAATCTGAGGGTTTTTACAGTTGTCAGTTGTAAAATAAAGAAATTTATTAATTTGTATTTAACCTTTGATACACCGACGATATTTATTCAGTAAGACTGGGAATTATATTCATTTAATTAAATGCGATTTGTTATTAGAATATTTGCGGCTTTGAATGAGCTCTATTGTAGCTGACGTTATGTGGGTTTAGTTTGTAATCCTTATATTATTTAAAAATACAGCATTTGTGTGTATTTGAATGTTAATACTTTCGTATTAACAATGTGATTCATTGCATGCGACTTTTCTGTGAACTGGTGACATAGTCAGCATTGATAGCTTTAGCCACAAACTCGCGGTTCATTTCCACAATCAGTTATCGGCTATCTAAACCGTGATAAGGCTGGCACCAAGCGATTGTTAAGCAAGAAATAAAAGAAAATGATACGTACTATAAACTTTATAGGTAAACTAAAATGCAATCGTAAATACTTAGTTCACTCAATGGAAATGTGTACGAATCGTGCGAAGCTACAAACCAAAATACTTTTTCGTTATATGCTACAAAGCTAATTGGTATTTTTACCCTCCTCCCCTCCTCGCAGGCCACGCTCATAAGCAAGAAATTGTTGGTCGATGAGCCCTCCAAGTACGCCGCGGATGACATTGAGGTTTTATCATTTGCATACGTGTTTTATGACATAAATTGGTTTTAAAGTTTTGGTGTCTGTACCATCAACGGGTTCTCCGCACACACACTCCACTTATCAGTCAATAAAACATATGTTGTTCCATACTAATTTCACTTCCTCCTCGTATGGGCACCTTAGCTCCCCATCCAAACCCCATCAAGAACCTCGTTACTTTGTACACATGCTTGGTATCCCATTTAGTGGCATCGGTTTGATTTGAAACTCGAGCTCTGCTTTGCATTGGTTCTCACATTTGTGCTCGTTACTTGCAGGCGAAGATTATCAAGAACGAAGAAACTGAGCTGACATACCGCACCACGGAACCGCCGCGCGATGTGCATGTGAAGATGCTGCAGGAGAACATCGATACGTTGGAAAAGGTCTTCAATTACGTGGCCAAGACGCACTCGACCAAACGCTGCCTGGGCACCCGCCAGATACTGAGCGAGGAGGACGAGACACAGCCAAACGGACGCGTTTTCAAAAAGTACAACATGGGCGACTACAAATGGAAGAACTTTATCGAGGCGGAGCGTATGGCGGCCAGCTTTGGACGTGGACTGCGCGAACTTGGCCAGGCCCCGCGACAAAACATTGTCATCTTCGCCGAGACTCGCGCCGAGTGGATGATAGCTGCCCATGGTTGCTTTAAACAGGCCATGCCCATTGTAACCGTCTACGCCACACTTGGCGATGACGGCGTCGCCCACTGTAAGTACACTGAAACAAAAAAGAACGATTTTCGGCATGCCGAAGATAAAATACCCTTGTAGTCATATGGCTGACGGCTTGCCAATATACGTGGTCAAGATACCACGAAGAACATTTCTCAAATATATCTATTTTTGATCAATTCTTCCCATAGAGCTATTTATCGTATACCAAAAAGAGACGGGATACCCAGAACTAAGCACTCAGCTTGTCGCGTGGTTTTCTCTGCAGCTGTGATTTTTTCCCCTAGTTCCACACTATAGAAAAGGGGCGTTTGTGATTTATCTTTGTTATTTATTGTATGCATAAATATGACATCCAAATAGTTGTAACAGAAAAGCCCCATGCTAAACCTCCAACTTTGGGTGGAATAAGGGGTAGGTATCAAGTCTGTGAATTCGAGAGATAAGCTCTTAAATATGCTCATAAAACAGGATTTCGACATCGATTCAATGGAACAAATTCGTGCTTCGCGGGCCATGTTCAAAATTTCAGTTTCTACCTCTTACGCTTTTTGGTATATGGACAGACGGACATAACTATATCGACACGGCTGAGAAAGAAAACCGATTTCTAACTGTCTTGATATCTATTTTTAGGCATCACCGAAACCGAAGTAACTACTGTCATCACCTCGCACGATCTGTTGCCGAAGTTTAGGACTTTGCTGGACAAATGCCCAAATGTCGACACCATCATTTATATGGAAGATCAGCTGCACAAGACCGACACAAGTGGATTCAAGGAAGGTGTTAAGATTCTGCCATTTGCTCAAGTTGTGAAAATTGGAAACGACAGCAAATTTGGTATGTTTAAATGCGACTAGTCATAAATATGGGATAAATGTATTAACTTTTAGCTTTTGATCGACTACTAACTCTTGATTTTTATTCATCCACAGAGAACGTGCCACCAAAGGGCGAGGACATTGCCATCATCATGTATACTTCCGGCTCAACGGGCACTCCAAAGGGTGTTCTGCTGTCGCACAAGAATTGCATTGCAACAATGAAGGGCTTTTGTGACATGGTTAGCATTTATCCGGAAGACGTGTTGATTGGTTTTCTGCCCCTGGCGCATGTGTTCGAGCTTGTCGCGGAGAGCGTTTGCCTTATGACCGGCGTCTCCATTGGTTACTCAACGCCGCTGACGCTAATCGACACGAGCAGCAAAATCAAGCGCGGCTGCCAGGGTGATGCCTCCGTGCTGAGGCCTACGTGCATGACTTCCGTACCTCTGATACTCGATCGCATCTCTAAGGGCATCAACGACAAGGTCAACTCTGGCTCTGCATTCAGGAAAGCGCTCTTCAAGTTTCTCTACCAGTACAAAGTCAAGTGGATACAGCGCGGTTATCAGACGCCATTGATCGACAAGTATGAACGACATAGAGAAGAGCTATAAAAACTGTTTAATTAACATTTGATTTATGCTGCTCTTGTGTAGGCTGGTCTTCAAGAAGGTGGCTAAGCTAATGGGCGGCAGGGTGCGCATTATAATGTCCGGCGGTGCGCCGCTCTCGGCCGACACTCACGAACAGATCAAGACGTGCCTGTGCGTGGAATTGATACAAGGCTATGGCCTGACAGAGACCACATCTGGCGCAACTGTGATGGACGGTAAGTGCTCTGCCCAAATATTCAATTGTAATTTGCTTTACAACCAATCAACATCGTTGCAGCTCGCGACATGACCTATGGACGAACTGGAGGACCTTTGACTGTTTGCGACATTCGGCTGGTTAATTGGGAAGAGGGCCATTATCGTGTTACCAACAAACCCTATCCACAGGGTGAGGTACTCATCGGTGGCGACTGCGTATCGCAAGGCTACTACAAACTGCCCGGTAAAACCAACGAGGACTTTTTTGATGAAGATGGACGCCGTTGGTTCAAAACCGGCGATATTGGAGAAGTGCAATCCGATGGCGTACTTAAGATAATTGGTATGTGCCATCATACGTATATGTATGCTAAAAATCTGGGCTAATTGTTCCACTTGCCCGCAGATCGTAAAAAGGATTTGGTTAAGCTGCAGGCTGGTGAATATGTTTCCTTGGGCAAGGTCGAATCAGAGTTGAAGACGTGTGGCTTTATTGAGAACATTTGCGTTTATGGTGATCCGACAAAACAATATACCGTCGCGCTGGTCGTGCCGAATCAGAAACATCTTGAAGAGTTGGCCGAACGGAATGGGCTTAAAAACAAAACGTTTGAAGAGTTGTGCTCATCGCCAATCATGGAGAAGGCCATACTCAAGGAAATAAGCGAACATGCGAGAAAATGTAACTAACCAACCTATAAAATATGTTGCTAGTGGTTGTATCTAATATTATATTCTTTCTGGTGCAGGTAAATTACAGAAATATGAGGTGCCTGCCGCCATTACGCTGTGCAAGGAAGTTTGGTCCCCGGATATGGGCCTAGTGACGGCTGCTTTCAAGCTGAAGCGCAAGGACATTCAAGACAAATATCAGCACGACATTAATCGCATGTACGCTTCATGAAAGTCAATGTACTAAAGTAACAGGAGCAGCAGTGAAGCCAATTGTGTACTAAATATAAACAATTGTTTTAGTATAGCTCAAAAGGAAACATGCGTTATTGAAACCAAACTAGCTTAAGTACGAAAATATCTAAAAACCAAATAGACACACATCAACGGCTTCGCCTGTAAAGAGAAAACTTGTGTTTAGAAATTGATTGATTTTATGAGCTCTTTCGCTTATCTATTATAATAAAACATGTATTGAGTTTTTAGACTTATGAAGCTTAGTTTGGTTACTTTTGTTTTGTACCATGCTGTTGATGTTGATGATAGTGATGATGGTGATGATGGTGATGATGATGAATATGATTTTGATAATGATTACGAATGAATGACAATGATAATGAAACAGATGATAACGGTTACGATTGATGTACAGTTTTCGGTTTTTAGTACATTTTTGAGGCAAATGAAAAATTGCGTAAAATAATAATTATTTTTATAAAACACACAATAAACTAAGCTTAAGTGGTTGCCTAATAATTATGTACATACTTTACATATACACAATCGCGTATATATCAAAATCTAATCCTAGATTTGAATATACATATATAAATATAGCGTACTTCTTAAATTTTAGTTTAATATATGGCAAATATTGAAGCAATGAATTGTAGCAAATATAAAAACATAAAGCGACATGTTCTGAATTAAAATGCTAAATGCAAATACAAATTAATAAACTTCTTTACTTCTGCTGGGGAGGATATTTAAAGCAAAGAGAATATAGAGAGAGAGTGCACTAACTAAGAACCCTCCATATACACGCAACTCATACGAAGGGCAACAAATAATTGTAAAATGTACAATTTTTTAGGCAAATTTAATAAATGCAACAACGCGAATAAACTTTAAAGATCAATTGCAATTACAACTGAACATCATAATCAGCATAAGAAAGACTTAGAGCTAAAGGAAAATAATAATGCCTAAACTATTAAGATTCGATTATTTTTTATATGTGCAAATAGTTTTGATTATATTTTAGTCATACTTTTAGTCACATATATCTTATAGAAATGAGACGGTGCGTTTTTAAAACGGTGAAAATTGATAATATTTTCAAAATGCCGGAATAAACTTTCTGTACTAATTATATACATACTATTATGCATATTTTAGATAGCATATTTTATTTTATAGTTATATTAGATTGAGTTACACAAAAAGTCTTACATTAAGTAAATAACATCATTGTACATTTGGGTGTATAAATATTGAGAATGATTAATAAATATTTAAATCCTTGAATATTTGTCGCTAATTCATGAAACAAGCAAATTAGAAAATGGTTGTTGTATGTTTTTTGTTTTTAATTAGTTGGTTTTTCACACATAAAGGCTTTTTGGCAATCGTAATTCAACGTGTCAGGATGGCCGAGTGGTCTAAGGCGCTGCGTTCAGGTCGCAGTCTACTCTGTAGGCGTGGGTTCGAATCCCACTTCTGACAACTTCTTTTTATACTTATTTATATTTTTCGATATGTAAGCGGCACCTTCTTATTAGTGGCTTTAAATACTTGATCAAAAGCAATTTATAATTGATGCATGAAAGAAACTTGATCATATCACTCTCTATTTAACCTTACCTTACCTTTTAGGTAGAATATTTAGCGGATACAATATTATATGTTGGTTATATCAGAGTCATTTTGGGTTTGTTTTTGCAAAGTATAAGTCCATAGATTTTAGATCAGGCTGACACGCTTAGCCGATCTGGCTATGCCAGTCTGTCCGTTTTTCTCTCTGTGTAAGCGTATCGACCACTATAAAAGCTAAAAAATTGAATAAAATTTATTAGGATAAGGTCTTACGCTTTGGTATACACATGCAATTGAGTTCCATATGTGTTGGTTAGCTTGAGGTAAATTAGCTTATCGTTTTGTTCAGTGTACTTCTTTGTCGGTCACTCCCGATTAGAGCATTTCCACTTTTTTTTATAAAGAGCCTTGATGATTTAGATATATCGAATAATAAGGAAGACATTCGGTTTTGTCGACCATTAATAAGTAAATAAATAAAAAAGATAGGTTTGTTTAAATTTGCAATACTTGCAACCTCGATTGGATTCTGTTAATTATTTGTATTAATGCTATAATGAGAAAATTGTTAAATTTCCCATATGTGTGTCTATCAGTTATACTTCACTTACACAAACGCTAGAACATACACACATACACACTCAAACATATAACATTAATTGTGCTGGGTAAATAATCGTATGAGGATTTCCAGCCGCGTCAGCTTCTGAGAGATTGACTTATTTATTTGCAATGCACGTTTGTCCATGTTAGAGGGAATGACACAATTTACGCGCTTGACTGCGGTCACTCTCTATATGCAGGGCTTTACTGTAGGGGAGCTACAGCTTTGGCTGTGGATGTCATTAGCTTGGCTTTCCTGCATTTTTATGGCATTAAAAATTGTTAATGTACTGCTCAACGGTCGCTTGAGCTTGAGCACCCAGGCGCCCATTTATTACGCCGCCGACAGAAGTGGCAGAAAAGAACGCTGCAAACTGCTGCTCTGGGCGCACAGACTCACCTGAAGTGGGCTACTGGCAAGGACGTCGACTAGCGTCCACTAATGCAACAAATAAATCATGAGAAATGTGCGACTGACCGTTGCCCGCGTTGGGGTAAAAGGAAGGAAAAGTCGACTGCAAACTTTTTTTTTTCCCTATTGCTGATAATTATCAGCACAGCTGGAAATGGCTAAGTAAGTGCTCGAGTGATGAAAGTTACAGCGAGATAGTCAGCCGAAAGTCATGGGATTATTTATTTAGATAGTATGATAGTACTATTTGTGAAATAGAGCATTTCTTTGGAAATATTCGGAAGTATATAAAGTAATATTGATATACATTTGATTAAACTGACAAATCACAATTCATTAGTAATGATCTAGTTGAGTTGTACTTATTGATAAGAAATTCGTGCAGTTTGTAGTGTATCTGTTTGCCTCACAGTATCTATAGTTTCCCTGAAATGGGACATAATAATTGCAGCTAACTGCAGCCCACAATTCATGTGCCGGACATAGAATAAGTATCAGGGCGTTCGATTCGAATTGGCCATCTAGTAATGAGAATCAGTTAGGCTAATGTAAGGCCTAGACACAGACGGAGACAACTTAAATGTGGCATCTTAAAATACGCCTGACTGCATTGGCACTAATAAAATTAATAGACTATAAAAGTCACACACACTTGGAGACTCGCATGCACACATACACACACACACACACACATACACGATGGCCAGAGAAGGACCTGCATTGGAGTCTGAGAGCTTGAAATGAAATGCAAAGAATTTCCTGCTCATACGTTACGCTCAATGGATTTTGGATGACAGACAGTCAGACAGGGAGTGGGGCGTCAACATCTGGGACGTGGAAAGTGGGCCGATGGTGGAAAATGGTGACATTAATTCGGATTGGGTCAACAGACGCATTACTGTTCGTGCACTGCGAATGGCAACTATGTTAGGATACGAATTTTATGATGTGTACAAATTCCCTCGCATAACTCATCTGAATTGCAAGCCTCGTGCTCTATTTTTTTCCCCCCATTTAGACCATAAATATAAATGGTTCGATGAGTGCTGTCAAAGGATAAAGCAACTAACAACAATAAAGAAGCATTGGCTCAAATGGAGAGCTAAGAAATACCCTGCATTTAGTATACAGATATGTAGATAAGAACAGTTCATTCGACTGCGCACTACTCTGTTTATAGTGCTTTAAATTGTCATCTTATGTTCTCCCTCTAGTCCACGATCAGTGTAGAATTGTTGCTGCTTTGCTTCTGCGAACTAGTCGTAAAACTTACATCGACGTTACAAAATGACCCCAGAAAGTATATACATATAAGTTCTGTTTCTAGGCAAACTAGAACTAAATTTTTTAATTGAGCTTAGCATAGATGCGAATTTTGGATGATATGTTTGATTTTTCTGGCCTTTTGTTTGAAAGGTTAGATACATTCTATAAATAAATCAAGAGGATGTGTGGCAGCTATATGACATTAAACAACTTTAAACCAAGTGCCCGGGTAGCTCAGTCGGTAGAGCATTGGACTTTTAATCCAAGGGTCCAGGGTTCAAGTCCCTGCTCGGGCGACCAATTTTCTTTTAATGTATCAGGGTTTTGCTTGGGTTTTGAAATCATTCGACGCCTTAATAAATCATTTTTCAAATGTGGCAGGATAAATTTCCAAAATCTAACAATTCTGAAATTTTTGTACCCAAATATATATTTACGGATTTTTTTTCAAAAAAATGCTTAAGTCAAAAAACTGTCGCCCGAGCAGGGACTTGAACCCTGGACCCTTGGATTAAAAGTCCAATGCTCTACCGACTGAGCTACCCGGGCTTGTTTCAAATTATTTTTATTCAAAGTTAACAAAACGAGAAAATAGAGTTATCATCGTTCGTACAGATATATAGTTTATTTATATTTGTAATGGTGTTTTTATACCAAGAGTCAAGTTCTCAGTTAGGAATATCTCGAAAATTAAAAGAAATTTGATGTCTAGAAACGCGAATCAAAAAATATTTAAAATATTAAATATCTCCCCAACTACCCAGAGGTGAAAAATAAAACATTTTTGTTATAATAACAAGCCCGCAAAGCATTTTTTAATTAGATCGCTAGGGTAAACAATAATAAAATACGAACCAAACCATTTATATCAAGAAATGTTTTGGCATAAGAAAACTTTTTGCAAACAATATTTTTAATAAATTTAATTCAACTGTGGTGGAATACTCGGCGATGAATTGTGAACATTAAATGAATATCTTTAGTATAATTTTGCTAAAATAGATTTTAAATCGAAAATAGACCAATAATTGTTGTCTTTATATAAATTACAAATTGAATTGTTTAACTAAAAATTAAAGCAGGGAAAACAGAATGTGAAAGGCAATTCCTTTCTTCCGCTAGAGCAATTAATTGTAACAATTTAAATCAAATCGAATTTAATTTGCCAAATTGAAATGTCACATGGACTGCAGCACAATAATCAATACACGCCAATATGTGTACAATAGGAATGTTTTTCAATGTCAAGGAAGCAAATCAAGAGAAGTTTCTAAGTACTGAGCGTGGGCATGTACAGCATGTAGCCGGAGACGAAGGCGAAAACTTTCACTTTGAAGGACACGAAGATGCCGTAACACAGATACTTACACGGCCCGACTGATAGATGTACGGACGGATG